TCATTTCTGTAATTCGGATACATCCGAATCTCCGAATTTCCAAAAATTCGTCCGAATTTCGATTCGGAATGAAACTAATCGCACATGTCTAGCCTCCACAAGGTTATGGCTGTCATAGATGCACTGGCCTCAGAGGCCAGTGTATCCACTGTCAGCAAGCTGTAACCCAGTGCAGGTAGGCAATAGCGGTCCGGACAGAACTGCCACTTGGTCGGTGTTCAGACCACGGTCTACCATTTAGGGACCCCTGGTCTAGGTGCAGGGTCTCTTTAAGAGACTGTAACCACATGCCAGGCAAAGTGCAGATCCCATACAGTCTCTGTAACATGCTGCCCATTCCTGCCTTGTTTAAAAAAAATGAATCACCGCCGCTAATCAGCGCTCACTTTTCTCACACCGCTAATCTGCTAAAACACCTTTCTAATGAAAGCCTGGGAGCCATTCTCTGGGCAATCCACCACCCAATATTAAACTGACATTACAGCTCACACAGTTCCACACCAACTAAAACTTTTTTTTTATAAACAAAACCTACTACAGTAAAAAAAAAAAAAAAGAATCCTGTTGGCCCAGTCCTTCCAAGAAGATGGATTCATCCTGGAAACATTCAGGTCTCTGCTCTTCTGAGAAAATACAGGAAATTGGGTATGTCACCTCAAAGCTGTACAAAAGTAGATTAAATTCTATTTTGCATTACAAAATCATTTACAGTTACGCAAGAACTGTGTATCATGAACAAATGCCCTGTTTAATAGAAAAAAAAAACAGTTTTCACCTTTTGTTTTGCTTTGCAGTATCGCCGATCTCATCTAGCCTCTTTCATCCACTTCCTGTCTACATGTACTTGTTCCAGCCTCAGTTTCACCTCATTGCTTTAGACAGACTTCCTGATAGTGACTACAGTGGACCCTGTGTGCAATGTATTTTGTCACAAGCACTTTTAGAGTCAAGCAGGAGAGCATGTGACAGGGTGGGTAACAACACATGAGTACAGTTGGGAGACAGTTGTCACTCTATAACAGGAAGTGCCTGAACAAGGAATTTCATAGCACGATAACAAGGCATTGTTTAATGAAAGCTTCAGATTTAAAAACCGGAAACAATGTTTTAAAAACTATTTCCAATGTTTCTCAGCTCCATCTAGTGGCTATAATGCGGTATTAAATACATTTGTCTTTACATAGCTTCTCAAAACATCACAGCACCATGCCTCTATACTTCCTTTAAGAGCGAAAAGTTTTTTTTA